GGTTACAGGGACCGGTATCATCCATCGAGATAATCGGAGGACCTGTATGTAATTAAGTCATAACTAAGATAATTAAATTAAACATTTATCACTAATATGAGATTAACATAAATATTAATATAAATAGTCTAGGCCATTAAGATATAGCAATTTTTTAACAAGACAATCTTTGTATGCAAGGGAACATGAGAAGTTAGATGTTCAAATACCGGACACATAAATAAAACTCAAGTATCCAAAGCAACCAATCTATACTACCTTATTAAACAAATTTGCTCAAAGTCTTAAAGTCTTAACTTTTTTAATACCCAAAATACCCTTACCCAAAAGCCCTTTAAAATACCCTTACCGAAAAGCCCTTTACACGCCTTGAAATAAATATTTGAAATAGTCCTTCACACGCATCCCCTTCCCAATATATTCACTCCCCCCAAGACAGCCTCCCCTCTCCCAATATATTCCAGTATGGCCTCCCCCTCCCCCAAGGCACACACACACGCCTCCCCCCAAGAGCACCGATTCACTCCCCAAGATGGTTCAATTTAAGAGTCGTCTATCGTCCTTCTCAAAATCACCTTCACAATCGCCTTCAATCGTCGCTCTCCAATCGTTCCTCAATCGCTTTCAGGTATGAAAAAATTYCCTTGTTTGAGTTTTGTTTTTAGGTTTTGCTTTTGGGTTTTCACTCTCCCTCTGTTTGAGTTTTATTTTTGGGTTTTGCTTTTGCGTTTTTGGGTTTAGGATAGATGTTGTATGCCGAATCGTTCAATCGCCTTCACAATCGCCTTCAATTGCTTTCGGGTATGATCAATTTATTTGTGTTCTCATCAATATAATCTTCTAAAAGCTTCAGCGATCGATGGAGTGTTGAAATCGACAACGGATATCATCTCACAAGGTAAGGAGGCTCTTCTCGAACCTTCAGATTTTGATGATTCTGATGCTTTGGACCAGAAGCTTGAGAAGTATACTGAAATGCTTCAGACAGAAGCTTTAATGATGGTTCCAAACCAAAAAAAAGGAACACATTCCATTTGGGAAGTATAATAAAATTACCTGTACTGAGATTGATATTAGAGAAAACAAAGTCTGTAGGACTTGAGTAATTGGAGTGTAATAGACATTAACGTTGAAATACATATGTAATCGCCATGATCTGGGTATGCCATTTCGCAGGTAACTTCAATGCTATTTTGAACTCGTATTGTTCTTCTTTGAACCAGCTTGGAATCTTGCTTCGAGGAATAGCACAACAGCACATTTATGTGCTCAACWGAAAACAAACAGTTGTAGGGAATATGTAATCTGTAACCACTATAGATGTTCAATACTTGTTGAAATTTTGATTTGGTCTACTTTAGTTGAGACTGAGATAAATGTGTTACCATAGAAAATATTACTGGATTTGGATGTTTAAAATTGTACAGGAAAACTTGGATAAAGTTGTAACCACCTTTTTAAGACCCCTCAATATCCCATAGAGTCTTAAAGAGTGAAAGGGTGGATCTTTTTTGTTTTAAAATTAAAGTTGTAACCACCTTTTTGATCAAATTCGTTGGATTAAATCTATCTAAAGATTAATATTTGTTTTTGGGTTTTCTATGTTTTGCCTGGTTCGACTCGATCCTCCCTGTGTTCTATTTCTCACAATCAACATTCTTGTTTATAGGTGGCATCTTTTTAGTCAATGAGCTTTCTTCAACCTATAAAAGCTCCTTGAAAGCTCAAAGAGAGGGGTGATCTGTTCGGCACTTGYTGATGTTGAATCATCTTTATATAAAATTTTAGGGTGTTTTTGTTTTGTTTTTAATAGATTAAATTTCAAAGAATACGTAAATGGAGTCAAGGAAACCTTTTTTGAGAAGGATCTCTTCTTAGATGGAGTTGATCTAATTCATTTGTTTATTGTCATTAATTTTGATAATCAATTTAATTCAACTAAATTTGCACATTCTATTAATACCGGTGGATGGATAAATTTGTTTGGTTTCATCCAATATTTGGATCAACTATTTAATCATTTTTACCATATTTGTATATCAAGAGGCAAATACAAATACTATGTAAAATAATTTCTTTTTTATGCTTTTGTAGCAATTAGATTAGGTTGGTTTAAATATATTGGATTTTTAACTGTCATATAATTTTTCGTCGCTCAAGTCCAATTGGAACTATAACTCTTTTTTACTCAAATCGTTTATATTTGTGACTCCCGCCGCATTGCGCGGGTACACAACTAGTTATATATAATAGACACTTTCTGGAGCGTCAAAGCGTGGATACTCTTCATACCAAAACAACATGAAAACATGGATGAAATATCACATTCAAAACTCACCTTCAGTGACGGGGGAGACCCGATTCCATTGACAATGATGGAACACATAAGTAAGCCACATTATGTTATATAAGCATCACTTATGGATAAACAATTATTAACATCAACCTTTCCGGGTCTATATATATATTTAATAGGTTAACAAGCTTAACTCTTCGAGTCTTTTGCTTGTGGAGTCACCAAATTCCACTCTTTGAGTCTTTACCTTGAGACCTCTAAAAATGCAAGTTAAGCTCGTTCACTAGAAATGACAGCCACTACGGACTGCACGGTCATCAAGTTCAACTTTTCAAATCTATATCCTAAGTCCGCCTCTACGGATCACACGTCATCAAGTACAACTCTTCGAGTCTTTACCTTGAGTCCTCCTCTGATTCTAGTTTCTAGCTACAATACAGGGATGACTATCTCATTCAAAATCGACTTTTGTGCCTATGAATCCATCGAATTACAGTCTAAATTACATGACCCCAAGCGAATAATCACGCACTCAAAACATGTATATTCAAATAACTCCAAATGCTCAACATAGAGCAAAATAAACCAGACAAAAGTCTTCACGACTCGTCTGAGTCAAAATCGAGCGAAATCCTCAACAACTCAATGACTATTCAATAGAAGTCATTGTAGCCTCTGGAATCGCTCAAATCGGACAAGGAACGAGAAAGTTATGACCAAATGAAGAAATCTTCGCCAAATCGGATTTTTAAACGTCAGATGGGTTATGCGATGCGACCCTTACCTACGACCCTAGGGTTGGGCTGGACCCCATATAGCAGCTCTCATGGTCCATTTCGCCCAGGTCATTCTTCTCACGTTTTCCCGGTTGTTCCCCAATAGTTCACCGACCAGATCGGTCGTTCACTAACCTTTCCCTCGGTCGTTCATCAATCGTTCTCTGACCATTTTCTAACCGTTCTCTGACCAATTCCTTGGTCATTCATCGACCATTTCTCCAAGTTTACATTTTAATGGTTACAATGAAAATACGGGTGTTACAATATGTGGCATGATGAGAATTTCCCACATGTACAACCATATATATATATATATATATATATATATATATAGGGTTGGGTTCTTGGGAGAATGAAAGTTATAGTGAGAATAGTAAGATAGGATCTCCACCCCAAAGAGGCAGGCGGACCTAGAAAAATTTTCAAGTGTTGGTACCATTTGAATATAAGAAAAATACATATATGAACATTTTTTACAAAATCATCATTGTTCTATTAGTTAGTTATTTGCTTTTCATATGCCAGGTCTAGTGTTCGAGTCTTCTATTAAAAAAAATTAGGAACATAATAAATCTGGCATTAAAAGCTAAAAACTAAGAAAAATGATACAAACAGGATTCAAAACCGGGTCTGGGGTGGGAGAACAATCATGCAAACCAACTCTACCAAGGAAAACTTGTGTCACCATTGTAGTTTCAAAATATATATGGTTGCATGGTGGCACCTTTGACGACCCTATAATGTTAACTACAACGGAGGAACAAAGCAGTGGCTCATGCCACCGTATCCAATAGAGTGGGTCCGTCTTGCCTCCAACCTTAGATCAAATCTAATTGAAGATCAACACTAATACAGTGCATCGAGATGCAAGGAATCAATTCCCATGATGTATAAGCGTAATTAATGGGGTGAGACGAGATTAAAAGTAATCAAGGTCCAGATCCCATCTTATACTTCACATCTTAACTCTTATTTTCACATAATATTTTGTCTATGTATTATATATGTATATATATATATATATAGAGAGAGAGAGAGAGAGAGGAGAGAGAGGGAGAGAGAGAAAAAAGTTCAAATGAAAATTGATTTTCAATTGTGAATCGAAGGACAAAGGAGAGCTAGTATGAACAATGGAGGGCATTTAGTATGAAAAACGATGTGAACTTCATGAACTAGTCATGATGAATAATATAAATCATGATCCATGTTAAATTAATTAATTATTCATGATGAATAATACACATTAATCATGAATAATAAATACATTATTCATGATGGACACAGGGGATACGTGACGTGCTCTCCTTTGTCTCCTAGTTTACAACCAAAAATCGGTTTTCATTTGAACTTGTCTATATATATATATATGTGTGTGTTTGTATATGTGTGTGTAAAGTTGCATAATAGTGTCAAAGTTTATCCTTGTGAAAAATGTGTTTTGACTTTTGCACTTTTGTGTTGCATGCCAAGAAATTATTATCGTCTCATCTTACAGTTACATACATAGTGCATGTCACAGAAGAGAATAAAAGCAAACGACCACTAAGCTATACATTTACCTTTTTTTTATGCTTATGTACAACATAACCCAGCAATTCTTGTCTTGTAACAAAAGTAGGTGTGTTTAATCTCTTGAATTTTGCAACTTCTTATGTCACCTCCAATGGCTTTGCTGTGATTTGTAGCCTTATCCTTGCTTAACTTTACATGCTTTGTCGAATGCAACTTAATATTACTACTTTCAACAATATTTGGTCTATCAAAAACACTTTAAATAAATGGTTGTTTTTATGTTAGCATTAACATCTCCTTTTTAGTATATTATAGAGACAACCTGTTTTCAGGCATCTATTGCTCAAATCACACATTGGTAACACAATTCTATCTTCTTCAAACTTTTATCTTTGGTTTTCTAAAAATAATAGATGAATATTTAAATAATGCATTACGCAGGTACACAACTAGTAGAAAGGCTTTCTCAATCCGTCTTTGCTTTAGCCTCATTCCTAGATCGAATTACAACTTATGGGCATGGATATCTTTGTCCCTTCATTCTCAGTTGATCTTGATAACCACCAGTTTGTCCAGAAGCTCCTACATCTTCAAGGGATCTGCATCCACAAGAATATCACAACTTGGGCATAACAAAAATTGCAATCTAGTAATAGTTACTAGAATTAGACAATTAATTACCATCAGAAGCAGACGGTGGTAGGACGCACGATTCGATCTTAATCTTTTCAATTGGTTGAGCAGCCTCTCTTCAATCCATAAGTCATCCACAACAAAACTTGTTATTCATCTCAAAAATAAGCAATATGAGGAAGCAGTTGACGAAAAAATCAAACATTTAAATCGATATATTATACAAATCTAAATATGGTCAATCATTATTCAACAGGAAGAGACTTTGTACAAATCTTGAAAACCGATGTCAAGATTATAAAAGCCAAAATGCATATCAAACATCTCCCAAATGCCATCATGCAAATAGGCAACATAAAATTGCAAAGTAACTAGAAAGCAATCAGCTTAGGGCCTTAATCATAAAAATAAGAAACAGAAAGGAATAACATACTCTTTGTAATGTGAAGTTACACCATGACCAATCTAATGGGGTTGTGATCCCAACACCAACTCCATAAATAGGACAAAAATTCCCTTTCACTTGGTTTTCTCAGATATCATCACAAACAAATTAGCAACAAGTTCCAATAAGAAGTAACTTCCATACCTTTTCGCGTCTTGCTTCATAATAACTTATGTGAAACATATGTGCTTAAAAGTTAAGGTAGACATATTCCAACCAACCATAAGTGTTTCAAGCAACCAAAAGTGCATCCACATTTACGTGAAGAACGTTGCTTATTTATATAGGCATGTACCTCTCTATCCTTTATTCCTAAAGCAACAGGACCTATAGGTCCTATACGTGGTGGATAAACCATAATTGTGTGATAAGATGAGATTAACAGCATCATGATGTCATGGATCATCGCACAATAGAGGGTGGTTGTCAGCTCCATTAGAAAATTTCTACTTGTGTAGGTTGTCCAAAGCCAGGATGGAGAGGGTGCATGGTTGAATTGGAATGTATCCAGTTGTTTGCACAAAAATGGATTTGGAATGTGTTAAAAAGAATGAATAAATAGACAAGAATGTTAGTGTAAAAGAAAGTGCTGATTGATGAAACTGCAACAAGCTTCATATGACTTTCTATGATCGGCAACTTATGAAACTAAAAGAAGGTTTTATAGGACAATGTCTCCATGAGATGAGTGTGGCAAAATTACGAATTCCAAGGTACATGGATGGTCATCCATTGAAGGCATAAGCATATTATCTCTCCTAATTTCCTTCTGGACAATTGTTTCGAGAGTCTGTTGTTTCTTTACCAAAGTGTCTTCCCATCTAATTACCTTTCACTTTTTACCGTTAGAAGATTTTCATTTCAAGATTTACCTCCTTGATGGTTCCCTCCGCATTTATAATTTTGACTTGCCCATATATTGATACCAATGATACGGGTAAGAGAAGTCGACCCGGGCCGGTATCATTAAAAAATAGAGGAAGCAGAACCAAGTCAAGATGATACAAATCATCCCCTTTTTTTGCAATCACGGCAGGGTAGCAAATCAAAATCTAACATAGGGTTTAGGGATAATCAGGCTTGAACTGATGACTTCCACCAACCTTGTTCGGGAGAAATAGCATAGCATGATTCCTCTGCATTTATACTAGTGACGGTATGTGTGCATAAGAGAAGAAGTGTGCAGGGTATTACTCTTGGTGAAGGAAAGGAGAAGGTTTTCAATGAAGAAAGAGATCAAGGGGAGGGTAAATGAGGAAGAATAGGTGTTGACCATGGTAAGCACCAGTTCCATCACTTACCCTGGTCAGAAGGACTGTCAATGATCATTGATCTGTTTCTTTTTGGTAATTACTCCTACGTCACCTGGGTGAGAGAATCTTACCGGTAAGAGACAAAACGAGGCTAGTAAACAGCCCCTAAGACAACATTACATGACATGATTTGACCATATCAAACATATATATTAGGTTGTGACCGCCAGAATCTAAGATTTGTAATAAAAGAAAAATCATTGGAAATTCTATAAAGTAGCCATAGGACGGACTATGTTGTATGGTTCTGAGTGTTGGGTAGTAGTAAAGAAGGCGCAACAGAAGAAATTGGAAGTTACAGAGATGAGGATGTTGAGATGGATGGGTGGTCGTCCCTACAAACACATGGTGGGTTGATTCCGGTTCTACGGTACATGTTACAAACTCCTTACAGGGATTCCATACAACCCGGAGATTGGAAAGAAACCAAAGAACCATTAAAGTTGGAACTGGTGACGATCTAAATGTTGAAGCCATGGGCACTTTACAATTAGTTATGCAAAGTGGTCGTTGTATTAACTTATATGATACTCTTTATGTACCAAGGATAACTCGGAACCTAGTATCTGTACATAAATTAGATATTGATGGATATTATGTATCATTTGGTAACGGCAAAGTCACTATTAGCCTAAATTCCGATTTTATAGGTTGTGGTTTTTTGGTTGGAGAACTTTAAAAATTGTACTTAGATGAACAATTCTCAAAATCCTTGTTGTCATATAATGTGAATGAAAACTTAAATAAAAGGAAAAGAGAATTGGAAACATCGTCTATGTTGTGGCATCAACGTTTAGGTCACATCTCACGAGAACGAATGTTAAGACTCGTGAAAGATAGAGTATTACCAACTCTCGATTTCAATGATTTTAAGACGTGTTAAATGCCTTAAGGGCAAAATGGCAACGGGAAATAAGAAGGGTGCCACAAGAAGTTCAAGTTTGTTGGAAATCATTCACACCGACATCTATGGACCTCTTCCCGCCGGAATATCTAGACATAAATCGTTTATCACATTTAGGGGCTGTTTGGTTCATGGATTTGAATGGAATTGAAAGGAATTGGAATGGCCAAATCCTTTGACCAAATTCCAAATACAATGTTTGGTTCATGGAATAAAATTGATGGAATTCTTTCAATTCCAATAAATTCCTTCACTCGTGGATTTTACATTCCACGGCAATACCCTCGGATTTCAATTCCTATCCGACAAGTTCTTTCCCTAATCCAAATTCATTCCAATTCCATGCAACCAAACGCAATCACAAGACATGGTCAAATTCCATCTAATTTCATTCCATTCCTTCAAAGTCAAATTCATTTGATGAATTCCAATTCCATCGAATTCCATTCTACGAACCAAACGCCTCCTTATAGATGATCATTCGCGCTATATGTATTTGTATTTAATAAATGAAAAATCTGAATCACTTGACATGTTTAAAGTCTTTAAGGCCAAGGTTGAAAATCAACTCGACCGTAAGATAAAGGTAGTGAGATCAGATAGAGGAGGCGAGTATTATGGTAGACATACTGATGTTGGTCATTCTCCCGGTCCTTTCTTTGACTTTTGCAAGGAACACGGGATCGTGAACCAATTTACCATGCCGGGTACTCCTCGGCAGAATGGAGTTGCTGAGAGAAGAAATAAGACCCTTATGGATATGGTAAGAAGTATGTTAGCAAATACCAACTTACCCCAATTCTTATGGACCGAGACATTAAAGACGGCTGTCCATATTCTCAACAGGGTTCCTTCTAAAGCTATTTCCAAGACACCTTATGAAATTTGGATAGGAAGGAAACCGAGCTTGAGATATATGAAAATATGGGGCTGTCTGGCTAAAGCTAAGCTCTACAACCCTCAACAAAGAAAGCTTGACATGAAAACTATTAGTTGTTTCTTTATAGGGTATCCTGAACGATCAAAGGGATTTAGATTCTATTGTCCTTCTCATTCCACTCGCATAGTTGAAACTCACCATACCGAGTTCTTAGAGAACTCTAATGTTAGTGGGAGCAATGCACATCATGACATCAACTTACAAGAAGTCAAAGAGAAGGGGCCAATGACCCTCTTACCTCTTCATCCTGTTGTGCCTCTAGTAGATGACATTGCTCCACCTAGTATCATTTTTTAGGATAATGTTGCTCCAAATATGCCATTAAATGAAGACACGTCAAACTTAGAGGAACATATTCCTGAAGTTACCATTGAGTCTGAAGAACCCGAAATTGCATTAAGGAGATCATCAAGGCCTAGAAGACCTACTAATTTTGATGATTATGTAACTTACCTTAATGAAGCTGATTTGGATATTGGAAAGTGCAACGATCCAATCTCTTATAATGAGGCCATTAATAGCGACCAATCTTCTCAGTGGAATAAAGCTATGATCGACGAACTTGATTCCATGAGTAAAAATGATGTTTGGGAACTTGTTGAACTTCCTAAGGGTATAAAAGCTGTAGGATGCAAGTGGGTCTTTAAAACCAAACTAGACCCAAACGGTAACRTCGAACGATATAAARCACGTTTGGTTRCTAAAGGCTACACCCAAAAAGAGGGAGTCRATTATCAGGAGACTTTCTCTCCCGTTTCACGAAAGGATTCCCTAAGGATCGTCATGGCCCTAGTAGCTCATTTTGATTTAGAGCTACATCAGATGGACGTTAAAACAGCTTTCCTTAATGGTGATTTGCATGAAGATGTGTTCATGATGCAACCCAAAGGTTTTAAGCTTAAGGGTTGCAAACACCTGGTATGTCAGCTAAAGAAATCCATATACGGGTTAAAACAAGCATCACGACAGTGGTACTTGAAATTTGATGAAGTCATGAAGAAGAATGGTTTCATTAAAAATCAAGTAGATCAATGTACATACCTTAAAATGAGTGGGAGCAACTTTGCCATACTTGTCCTTTATGTTGATGGCATCCTTTTGGCAAGTAACAATCTGGATTTGCTGCATGAGTCAAAGCGATTACTTTCACGCCATTTTGACATGAAAGATCTCGGGGAAGCCTCTTATGTGATTGGCATCGAAATACACCGAGATTGGGCCAATGGGACATTAGGTCTATCTCAAAAGGCTTATATTGAACGTGTTCTTGCACGTTATAACATGCAACAATGCTCTCATTTTGTTGCTCCCATGGTTAAAGGAGACGTTTTTGGTTATTTTCAATGCCCAAAAACAGATGTAGAAAAGGAACGAATGAGATTGATACCTTATGCTTCTGTAGTAGGAAGCCTAATGTATGCCCAGGTTTGTACTCGTCCCGATATTGCTTATATTGCTGGAATGCTAGGTCGATATCAATCTAATCCTGGCCTAGATCATTGGAAAGCAGCAAAGAAAGTATTGCGATATCTACAAGGGACAAAAGACTACAAACTAACATATAGAAGAACTAATAACTTATAATTGATTGGCTATTCCGATTCCGACTTTGCAAAATGCAAAGACGATAAAAAGTCGACTTCAGGGTACATCTTTATGTTAGCAGGCAGACCTATCTCGTGGAGGAGTCATAAGCAACAACTAACGACGACTTCAACAATGATGGTGGAGTATGTTGCGGTCTATAATGCAACCTGCCACAGAATGTTGTTGAGAAATCTTATTGGTGGACTGAAAGTTGTGAACTCAATATCGAGACCATTGAAGATTTATTGTGACAATTCTGCTGCCGTTAATTTTTCGAACAACAATAGTTTGAGTGGGGCAGGATTATATCTTGATCTTGGTTTTAAAAAACGCGATGCGGTCCGAGGCGGTAAGGGTCCCGGAAGCCGATGTGTGATGCGTGATGCGCTCGCATCACGCACGTTATGCGCCCGGTATTCAAAAAATATTTATAAATTAATTCTACATATCAATTTCTACCTTTTTAATACTTACCTATCAAAATACTTCATTTATAACATAAAGTAGCTCCAAAAGTGGCATTAGAATCTTAAAAAGTTCGTGAATCGGAATAACAGAACACACGAACTACTACCATGAAGAACACAAGTAAATGTCTAATAGTCCCCAATCCCTAAACTAAATGATCAAGTGACCAACTAATACTCCCCAAGATCAGCATCATCAAACCCCAACACGGGTCATCTCCCTCATTTGGCTGTACGACAACAACTCACGTTCTATTTCTTTTTTAATCTGGTTGATATGTGAGTGCGACTTCTGCTTCTTCTATTAGTGGTTGTCGGCTTCTTCTATTAGGTCACCATTCAGTCTCACGTTCTATTTTAATCAACTAAAAAGCCCAACTAAAAACTGAAAAGGGAGCCCAAACATGAAACATACAGGATGCGCTGATGCATAGGTGATGCACGCATCGTTTGATGCGTAGGTGATGCGAGCGCATCATGGAATCGCAATGCATCAACCCATCTGATGTGTTTCCTCCAGCGCATCAGAGCGCATCACGCATCAGAGCGCATTATGCGCGCATTTTTAAACCAAGATCTTGATACAAAGTTTTTGTTTGTACGAGAACGAGTAGAGGAAAATAATCTTTGTATCGAGTACATCAGCACTCATGATATGCTTGCGGATCCGATGACAAAAGGTCTACCGCCCAAAGTTTACCAAGAGCTCGTAGCAAAGATGGGTTTTACTACAGACCTTATATGAAAGCATATTACGCTTATGGAAAATTAATTGTAAATTTTCTCGAATATCTTAGTTGTCTTGTCTATACTAATGTATGCATGCACTTATTGATCTATAGACAAAATCTATACAATTTAATGTTGTGTATTTTCTGTCATATTGGCTTGAAGTTTTCTAAATGTTTTATTTTGAGGCCTTAGTATAATTGATGGGGTCTCGTGTTGATAACGACTCGAATGACTGTATCTTTTTGCTCTGGCTTTAATATGAAACTTGATGGGTATTATTTTGGCCAAGTTTATGAATACTCATCATAAATGGTCACTCGGCCAAGTAGGAGAATGTTGGAATACTTCCAATATTTATGGCCTTAGGACCATTTTTGTAACTATTTTTAATTATTGTTATATTTACATTTTATAGTAGTAACTTGCCAACATGACATAACTGCTACCCATCTCATAATTGTTACTTGATGGAAGTAAATAGATAATATATGGGTTAAATTTGTGATTTCCATTTAGATGTCTAAAAACAAACATAGGCGCTCTCGCTCTCTCCCTCTCACCCTAAGGGATCAAAGAATCAACACCAATGATTTCTATGTTCGATCTTCCATCAATCCAGACATCATAAAGGAATCAATAGCTTCATCTTCTACGTCAAACTTATCAATGAAGACTGGTTTTCCAAGTAAGTTTTTCCCACTTAAATTTACTGTGTTTATCATTGAAATTGATGGGTGTTCATAAGATTGAATGTTAGCATATGTTGGATTTATTCAACAAGGAGCAAACTAATGATTTTTATTTCTCCTCCGTTATTACCTTATCCCTCAAAATTTCTCTTTACTCTCTCTAAACTCCCAAATCCTTCATGAAGTCCTACGTTCTCTAGATTGCTACAAGATAAGTGCATAATCCATGAAAAAGTTCCAACAATTAAGCAAGAACTTTTGAATCAAAATAAACGTGTATGCCTTCTAAACTTTTTGTCAATACACAAGCTTTATGCAAGAAATATGTGCTCAACATAAACCAAAACAATAGCACCAGTAAATCCCACGCGAATGGGGTTTGGAAAGCTAATATTTATGAAACCTTTCCTTACCCCTAGGATTAGAGAGCTCACTTCCATGAAGACCCCGAATTGCAAAAGAGTTATGCGAATATAGTCTTTTTAGGGTGATTAGCAACCCCAAAAGCAAGACTAATAAAAGCAAGAAAAGAAGTTCTAAAAAGTTGATGAAAAGCTTGACAAACTTGGGAAATGAGGTTCACAAAGTATACAACATGGAATAAGATTAAAACAAGTAGGGAAAGAGAGGAAGTGCGAAACAGCTAAACACTCTTAACAAGTGAGCCAAAAAATCCCTCCCTGACAACAGTCGCAAAAAACTACTCATGGCCATCCCACATACCCCATCTGAGAACTTTGGCACGTAGATATCAGCTCTTCAACCCTCCCCCAATCCCCTGCTGCCACTCCCAACCCCTCCCATGCTCACACTAATCACAGGTCCTTACAGCAAATTGCAAGTCTGCTACTCTAATCGTGCATCTCCACCAAATGTGTGCTCAAAACCGGACATGTAGATACAAAACGTATATTGATCCTATGATCATTGTATCACATGTGCATCGATATGCATGATTAGACATGGGGTATTCAAATAATAACTTACTAACATCATCTTACCTGGTTTTTGTCTCTTCTTCTTTGGAAACCTTCCCTTTAGCTGTGGCAAGCTTCTTTTGCTCGTATTGTATAGTTTTTGTAATCATATTACAGAACAAATACACAAACTGCACTGAATCATTTGCTGGAACAGGGTATGTGATTTTCTTGTACGTTTCCAGTGGCATACTCGGCTCCACCAACCTAACATTAAAGATAAAGTTGTTAACCAATCATATTGTTATATTTAGTAACTTCAACAACAAAAACAGGCAACAAAAATTTAGTAACTTCAACAACAAAAACAGGCAACAAAAGAGTACCAATGGGGTAGCCCACTCCTAATATTCACACATCTAGAGGAAATTTTTGACAAAAGTTACAACTTCCCCACCTGTTCCTTTATTTCCTATCCTAAAAACCCCTAGAACACAAAAACTTTTAGGTTCTCTTCGTTCTTTTCTACATCTTTCCCTTTCTTTCCACTTATTTTTAATCTTGCGAACACAGTGCTAAAGTTGGGTGGTTAAGCAGGTACTTAAGGTATCCCCTCCCCCGGCCCTTCCCCTAAATTCAGATACTATACCCGTTATGAAATATGATCTGCAAAAAGTAAACAAATTTACTAACCCAACAATTGGAATATGTAACCTAGACGCTTCAAGAATCACAGAAGACTTCCGCTCCGTATCAAAAATCACCACACAATCTGGCTGATAAACCGACGTCAGATTCAACTTCTTATTCCGAGATCGGAACTTTTTCGGACTCAAACTGTTGGTTAGAAACCCTCCAAGACGCCAAGAGTTGTCATTGCGGCAGCCAGTGTTTTTAATCATCTGCTCAATAATCTCATCAAGTAATGGATTAGTATTCACAAACAGAAACCGACCATTTTCGCGAACAAGATTCCCGATGAAATTGCAAGCGCTACGGAGGCAAACAAGAGTTTTATCGGAGTCGATAATCGTCATTCCATTTCGAGCACCATAAGTGTAGATTTTAAAATGGTTCTCAGCCGCTCGGCGGGCTAAATGAGCGTTTGTGCTTAGAAGCCTCTGAATAACAGCTGAATGAATCGTCATTTGCTTCAATCAGGGTCGGCCCTATTGTTTGGATGCCGTGGGCGAAGAGTAAAAATATGCCCCTAATCCAAGAAACAAAGATCACACACTTACCCAACTAAACATACATGTTTAACCATAGTACTGAAAACATTTAGAATGCTTGAAAACTATCCACATATCATGCTCGTTCACATTTAACAATATTGAACATGTTGTAACACATGTGATCACATTGAAAAATTGTTCATACTAATAATGTTAATCATAGCCTAAAATAGTGAATATATTGATCGTTATGCTGAAAATATGCATTATACTATTGTATGTATCACAGCTTGGTGATGCTTGAACCCATGACCTCTAGGAAAACCAGACTATATTTATGGCTCATATAAACATAAATAGGAGCGGTGAAGTTACTCAGAGAACATGCCACCAACAAAGAGCTTCGAAAACATGGCATTAAACATGCCCATTGGATACAGTGGTCTGGGGAGATAGATTGCCTCATGAGGCTTCCAATTCTGCTGTAGAAAGCCATTTCAGTTGTTCGAGTTCAAAAAGATTGCATTTACGAACTCCATTTATGAGTAAGAGGGTTGTTAGTTGATTTCAAACAAGACAAGAATAAAACATAACCTGCCATAAAAGCTAGCAGCCTAGAAGACATCTGACATGCTAACATAGAGATCCTCAACTTGAAATTTTGAATCTCATATTTCAGTATTACCGAGTTAATTACCATATCAACAATTGACAGTTTCTAGGCCTTAAAAACACATAGAATGTCCCACTCTACCTATTCTTATCGTGTTTTTGAACAGTAAGCAAACATGTACACACGACACATAAACCTATTCAAACAACAAATCGAATAACTAAATTGACAGCCAGAGACAAGACCAAACACAATTATTGCAGAGGATCAGAGAACTCAAAGAAGCTATAAAATTGGATTAGAAAAATGAAGAGAGACCAAAGGGCAAAGGTTGTGACAAAATGCACCAAGGTCGCCATTGAAACACTTTGTATACACATAACATGAAACTTATTACATAAACACATGCGAAGGACCTATAATTAAAAAAATACTCCAGTTGCATTATCTCTATATAATTTCTTATGCAATAACGAATTATTAGCAGACATAAAACATACACACAAATCAGAATCAAATAAAAATCGTGATCTAACAACTAAAGCAAGATAGAATCTATAACAACAAAGACATCCAACATACCTGTTTGAGAAGAGAAAGAAGAGATCGAATTAATGATTTAGGTTTAAGGAAAAAAGAAATCTGGGTATCTAGGCTAGGGTTCATGGGGGAGATGAGAGTCAACATATTGAGGAGGAGGGCGAGACTCGAGCAAAATCAGATGGAAATCATGTAACTGCCACTCGAGAGCAAAATCAGACGATGTTGAGAAGGAGGGCGAGACTCAAGAGCAAAATCAGATAGAAATCATGTAACTGTCACTCGAGAGCAAAATCAGACGATGTTGGTGGCTGCTCGTGGTGGCTGGGCAATCGGGCTATGGGAGCGGGATGGAGGTGGGGATGGGGCGGGGACCCCAATCCCCATCCCCGATACCCCATATCTGTCCCCGTCCCCATCCCTGCCATAGAATATGATTACATACCCATCCTCGTGCCCAACAAGGGTCTCCAACAGGGATCCCAACTAGGTAACGGTGATTTTTTTATACCAAAAAACTACTAACAAATAAACTGATTTGACAAAAAGTGCGTAACACTAACAGTAGCAGCAGCAGCAAAAGAACCTAACACTAACAATTAAACTAATTTTGACCAACTAAAACGATTAATGTAATCCAAAAATTAACATACTTTCAATTCAAATGCTAAAAGTAACGAATATAATACAAAATTGAAGAATGAAGATGTACGATAGCTAAAACAGATTGGGGATAGTAGTTTAAAGCACATAAACAGACCATGTTTAAGTTTTTCTATAGACTTGGGGTACACCACGCATAGGGAGGGTTTTAAGACCTGGGCAGTGGACACATAAACAGATCATATCCAGATAAGCCAATTAAACAAAAATGACAATAGAAAAATGGCATATCGAAGGCTGTAACTAACTGTTTCTAGAATATTTGAATTAAACTTTGATCTAGAATTTTTAAATTATCATCAAAGTAAAGCAACGGGACTCAAAATCACAAAAAGGCAAACCAACCCAAATTTGGCTAAAGACTTGGAGAAAAGGAGTAGCAATCAAGCATTTAGCAAAGTTTCAATATTGTGAGAACCAACAACTTCTGGATTACCAAATTAAACTTGTAAAAATCTGAAAGTTACAAACCTCGACCTCGCTGAAATCTGAATCAGACGGAATGACGGAGGGGCGTTCAGGCCGGAGGAAGGGAACGGCATTCAGGCGGGCGAGGTCGGCTCTTTCTCGTTGTTGATGTGCAAATGTCTAAACCTAACAAGGAATAAATAATATATTTTTATTAATTTAAGTAGAAATAAATCAAATTTTTCTAATGATTATTGATTGACTGGTTATGTACCCGTGTAATGTGACCAAATGTAAAATTTGAATAAATGTATGCGAACATACCGATTACAATTTACAAAAAAATAACTACCTGCATTCAAAATTGTCAATCGATAAACTTAATTTATTGATTGTTCATGTTTGTCATGTTGAATTCATTACAACAAAGTCAGGTTCATAAGATGTCAAAAGTGATACAAATTTTACATTCGGTCGCATTACAAAAGTACATAACCAGTTAATCAATAATCATTAAAAAATATTATTTATTTCTACTTAAATTAATAAAAATATATTATTTATTCCTTGTTAGGTTTAGACATTTGCACATCAACAACGAGAAAGAGCCGACCTCGCCCGCCTGAACGCCGCCCCCTTCCTCCGGCCTGAACGCCCCTCGTCATTCCGTCTGATTCAAATTTCAGGGAGGTCGAGGTTTGTAACTTTCAGATTTTTACAAGTTTAATTTGGTAATCCAGAAGTTGTTGGTTCTCACAATATTGAAACTCTGCTAAATGCTTGATTGCTACTCCTTTTCTCCAAATCTTTAGCCAAATTTGGGTTGGTTTGCTGAATTGTGATTTTGAGTCCCATTACTTGACTCTGATGATAATTTAAAAATTCTAGATCAAAGTTTAATTCAAATATTCTAGAAACAATTAGTTACAACCCTCGATATGCCATTTTTCTATTATCATTTTTGTTTAATAGGCTTATTTGGACATGATCTCTTTATGTGTCCACTTGTAACACCCTAGTTTCTTTATTAGATAAATCTCAATATTTCACCCTTAAATGCAAATATTTATGAATAATTCAAGTACTCCGGCAACTGTTACAATTTTAGTGAAACATCTTAATTATAAGACTAAACAAGCTAGTGATGAGTTGTTAAGGCTAGAAGTGTGTTGGCAAGTCTAGTAAGCATGACTAAGCAAGCTAGTGATGAATTGTCAAGTCTAGTAAGCATGAATAAGCAAGCTAGTGATGAGTTGTTAAGGCTAGAAGTGTGTTGGCAAGTCTAGTAAGCATGACTAAGCAAGCTAGTGATGAATTGTCAAGTCTAGTAAGCATGAATAAGCAAGCTAGTGATGAGTTGTTTAGGCTAAAAAAATATGAGTTGGCAGGACTATTGATTGCAAGACAATCTAGGAAGCATGACAAGGAGTACTAGAAGCATGAGTTGTATAGATTCTCTTATCCTTAGAGATGAGTTGTCAAGATTCTCTTATCTTTATTGATGAGGTGTCAAACTCTCATAAGAGTACAACCTTGAAAGCAAAAAGAACAAGTAGTTAATGCAATGAATTTATCTACAAATAAGGATTTAAGGGTCACTATTTATGCATACCAAAAATAAGACATCTCTCGACATTTACATAATTAAGCTTGAAGAAAGGAATCAAAGGGAAAAGTAGGCAAATCAAGGTGAGTACTTATGTGATTAATGCGATACATGCATGTTATATATATATAAGTATTTTATGCATTACAAGTTATATTAGCATGTTTGTTTTACAAGAAAATATTGATACACATACATATTCAAGATATGCAGGATGACATGTTTTAATACAAGTATACACACAAGACATGAAAATCATTCACATGTTATCATATGTGTTACACGAGGCATAGAAATTTTTACATGTTATGTATAACCATAATATCCAACGTACGGGATATTACAAGAAGGAACGTCTTGCAAACGGACCTTATAGGGCAACCTTTTTATGGACCCGGGGGTTAGCAAACCTCAAGACAAGTATGGTATACATGCATGTGACAAGTGAGATCTCAAAAGAATGTTTTATGCATGATGATAAAGAATATTTTTATGCATGATCAAGGGCTTTAATGAGTTATCATATCTGAAATATCATGAAAATTTCTCATTCATGAAACCATAAATACTCATTAAGCTTATAGCTTATACATCTCATGTATGTATCTCAGGAAAGAAGTAAGAAGGATTTGCATAAAGTAATATGGTTTTAGTTGAAAATCAAGTTTTGTTGTAAATACAAGCTATGGTTACGTTTCCGCTAAGTAGTTTCTTCTTTGATGTAATTTCAAGATATGTACTAAATAAAGCTAAATTTCAAGTTCAGATTCAAGATTTAATAGTTTTATCATGTAAAGTAACGACACCCAATATATAAGGACGTGGGGCGTTACACCACTGCCCAGGTCTTAAACCCTCCATATGCATGGTGTACCCCAGGTCTATAGAAAAACTTAAACATGGTCTGTTTATGTGCTTTAAACTACCATCTCCAATCTCTTTTAGCTATTGTTCATATTCATTCTTCAATTTTGTATTGAATTCTTTACTTTTAGCATTTGGATTGAAAGTATGTTAATTTTTGGATTACATTAATTGTTTTAGTTGATCAAATTGAGTTTAATTGTTAGTGTTAGGTTCTTTTACTGCTACTGTTAGTGTTAAGCTCTTTTTGTCAAAACTAGTTTAATTGTTAGTAGTTTTTTGGTATAAAAAAATCACCGTTACCCCGTTGCGGCTGTTGGAGACCCCTATTGGAGACGGGGATGGGTATGCAATCATATTCTATGGCAGGGATGGAGACGGGGACGGATATGGGGTATTGAGGATGGGGATTGGGGTCCCCGCCCATCCCCACCTCCACCCCATTCGCATAACTCTATGGCCCAGCGACCACGAGCAGCCACCATCATCGTCTGATTTTGTCTCGAGTGACGATTACATGATTTTTTCCATCTGATTTCTCCAAGTCTTAAGCCAAGTTTCCTTTCGAAGACTAACCCCATTTCGACCCACTTTATTGACCTCTTCTATACAAGTCTCTCAAAAGCATTTGATAATTTCATTTGTCCACCTTACACGTGCATTCTCGTCCATCACTAATTAGCACACAAGAAAGAATCCACATATTGCATTTGATGAATCAAAACCTTCAAATTGCAAATAAGAAGCGCATATTGTATTTAATGAATCACCCATAAATCAAAAGTAACATAAACCATGAATCAAAACCTTAATACAATATATATGAATGATATATAAATTAAAAGTACATAAACCATGGATGTATTGAAGACAAAAGACCTATAAAGTGCTAATGATGAATGAAGAGTCCAGTACATATAACATACTTTCTCTCTTAATATACACACATGTTGTAATTTAGAGCTCCTATATCATTATAGGTTGGGAGACATTGCTGGAGGTTATCAAGAGCAAAGGAGGTCCAGATACTTCTATCTTGATCACTGCAAGTCATATTTAGCAATCGAACACTGAGGTGGTTCTCCCATGTTGTAATTTAGAGCTCCTATATCATTATAGTTTATAGGGTTGACCTTAAGATAAAGTGCGTATTATACCACTGTGTTAGATTTACTGGGTCCATTAGGTTTGGTTTCTTAATATGAAGTGACAGGCCCATAGCGTTGAGCCAATAAACATAATAAAAACCCTGATTCTAAATGTATCTCCTAAACCTGTCAATATAGACATAAAACTGTCAATAAAACTGTTCTTAATATGAAGTGGAAGGCAAAAATAACTCAAATGAATACAGATCATACTCCCTGAAGATGCCCATTAAACTGTGAATATAGACATGTATAAACTGTGAATAGAGACATATTTAGGTAATATGGTGCCTCTCTTCCTCTACATGGTAGTTGTTTGGAGTTCCAGTTTCTTATACTTGTGTTATGGTTTGCTTGGTTGCATTTTGGGATTCTCTGTTTTCAATGCTGGTGCTTTTGACCCCCATGCTGCAACTCAATTCCTGGGGATAATTTATGCAAGAAAAAGGAAGATTTTTTTCTGTATTACAAGTCAAAGTTTGGACTTAATTGATGACCCTTTTCCAAGTTAGCTAAAGTAATGTACCAATTACTTACAATTCCATAAGGTATAAGTCACTATAATATCATTGCTTTTGATTATGAGTTTTTTGCTTTCTTGTTTTCATTTACTTCTCCTCCAGCTATTTCACAAGAGATCAATGATGCCAATTACAGCAGTATAAACCTACCAATTTAGACACAGGTCAAATCTTGCATGGATAAAGGATCAATTCGATTTGTTCATTCATTTGCTGCTTATATAAACATCTTATGCATCATGTTCTGAAAACATATATAAACACGTTATGCCAAACAATGTAAGATTATCAAATGCAAGATACAACGAAAATAGGAACTCTGGTTCTATACACGGAACAGAATCAGATAGAATTTGTCATTCAACCGAAGCAGAAAATACTGCGAATATGGCAAACCAGAAGCAGCAATCTCATTTTCAATTTCTTCTTTTGTTCAAAAGGAGATATATGATGTTGAGTTATGCAGCAGCAGCAGCAGCAGGCAGCTCAAAAGTCAAGAAAACGCTTGTAGCATAGGCTTATACTTGCTACTGTAGGCCATTTAGACATCTTAGAGGTGCTACAGTTGACAACCTTGTTAATGTTGGTTTCTATAGCTTTAATGTAATTTCAAATGGTGTTTGTTATATATACATATATATATATATATAGTGGGTACATTTTGTTACGAGACCCACACCAGAATATTACTTACATGGCCTTCTTCCTCCTACAATATCTACTCAAGAACAACAAGCATGAAGTTGTGATTAATCCTTATTTTATACGCAAGAATCATCATTACTTCTTTCTTTTCCACTTCATGACCAGGAATTATAGGTCGGCATTTCTTTCATTCCATCAAGAAAGGCACCTCTGGACGTCTGCTTCAACTTCAAGCCCTTCTAGGGTAGGGATAGGGRCCATGGATCAAGATTTCTGGTTCCCCTTCGATTTTCAACTTCGCAGTCCGCTACTATTAGAGGAATATGGATTTCTTTCCCCCGGATATCGATTTATSGGGAGTGCTACTCTTTCCATCAAAGCAATCACACCCTTAATTCACACTCATTCTGCTCCACTCACCATGGCGTTTCTTATGCCAAATCAAGAAAACAGATATACCCAAATCCAGAAAACAGAAAAACAGTCAACTATTTTAAAAACCCCGAAGGTATTTCCATGGCGTTTCTTATGCCAAATCAAACGAAAAGAAAGCATACAAAGAGTCAACTATTTTAAAAACCCCAAAGGTATTTCCATGGCGTTTCTTATGCCAAATCAAACGAAAAGAAAACATACAAAGAGTCAACTATTTTAAAAACCCAAATCCAAGAACAACTCTTATAAGTTTTGAACACAGAACTCATGCTTCCTGTTGTGGGTTCTCAGAGAGATGGAGAGTCAAAAGACCCATTACCTTTCTTTCTTGAGATGTCGAGAGGTAGAAGAAGTGTTTTAGAGAGTGAAATAGAGAGCTGAGAGCTTGTGTGGGAAAGGTTTTGGGTCCAAATTTTACATTTATACAAGAATGAAGGATGAGTAATCAAGTAAAAACTCAAGCAAAGGAGATGAAGCTGAGGAATAAAGCATTAAAATTAAAAGCTTAAACTTGAAAATGGTGGGGGAAAAGACCTGTTGCCTCCTAGTTCCGGTTGCTGTCTTGGGTTTTAGCACACTGACACTGTCTTGGGTTTTAGGTGAAAATGGCCCAAAGCTTGACGACATTTGCATCACCACCCCTCTGGTGTTCGCTTAATTACAAACATGACCACAACATTTTGAGACACCACATTTTTCCAACTCGTTAAGTGCATGTGGAAGTGGAACACCATCTACACAAACCACTTTCTTCACCCATTTTATAATAAAGAAAAAAATTATATTTTTTAATTACTTTAAAATGTAAAAAAGATACTAAAATACAATTTATTTATAGATCATGAAAAATTATCATATTGTTTGTAATTTTACTAGAATTCCATATATAAAGTCGTCATGTATATTTTTGTATATATTATATTGATGCATTATAAAATTAAGAGTAAACTATCAAATGGTCATTGATTTAGCGGGATCTGAATTATCGTTAAAGTAAACCTTTCAATGGTTCTAAATTCACTGAATGTAATTGTGATATATAAATATTATGTTTTTCCAAAAAAACAAAATTAAGAGTAAGCTATGCGGTCTTTGTGGTATGTTAGTTTCTAAGTGGTATTTATTACAAATTAACTCTCGTGGCAAAATTGTCATCTTAGGAAGAAAAAAAAAACTATACACACAAATCATTAGTAATTTTGTATGTGATAATATACAAAATAAAACACACGACATAAATTTATTATTGATATCACTCGTAATTATGTTATATTGTAAGACACAAAAAATTCTAATACAAATATCAAATGCAATTGTATTGGTTACAATGACATATGAATGTAATCTATACTATCTTATTAAACAAATTTATTAAAAGTCTTAAAGTCTTAAAATTCTAAATGACCAAAATATCCTTTATGCTTACTTTTTCACTTTTTCATTTTTTCACTTTTTCACTCCCACCTCTTCTCATATACACTCACCCTCTCACAACCAATTTTTTTAAAATTATAATTTTAAATTTACATTTTATACCCTTATAATTAATTAATTTATTTATTTTACGTCTTTTACTTTTAAATGTTTCATTTTAAATATTTATCAAATTAACATACATAATCGTATATCAATTAAAACATGTTTAAAAAATACATTTTWATTTTAACAAGTTACACCATTATAATCGTCTCGTTAATACCTTCGAAATTAGTCTAATATTGAATAGTTTATGACTTAATTATATTATTAATATTATATATACTGTGAAAAAATATTTTTAATATTTACGATTTATAYTTTTATAGTTATTTATTTATATATATACTATATATTTTGGGGTTAGGCTGTCCAAATTGCACTGTATAATATGTTTTGAATTAATATGTTTTTGGGTTTTTTTGAAATATATATATATACACACATGTATTAATTCAACCTTAATCTGAGTTTCTGGACAAGAAAGAGGGTAAGCAGTTGAAATTTTATTCTAAAACTCATCTTTTTTTTGTCTTTTCATGGCTTATGATCTGTCAAATTTGTAATTTTCTTTATTGGTTTTGAGTGTTTATCTTAAAACTCAAGTTTCTTGGTTCTTTGCTCTTAGTGTAAATCGAATACATTTGTGGAGTCGTTTAAATATGTTKGATTTTAAATATATTGGATTTTAAACTGTCATACAATTTTTTTCATCGATAATCTGTAATTGGAACCATAACTCTTATTTATTCAAATTGTATTAATATGTAAAGACCAAATGTAACTGATAACTCTTATTTTTAAGAGTTATTTCCTATTTATTTCCTCCCTTTTTGCTATTTTTAAAATACCCAATTTTCTTGTTTTTATCTTTTATTCCAAAAAGTTTTAAAAAGATTTTGAAACACAAAGGAAGAAGTATTATTCCGAAAATCTGTATTTTTCTGACAGCTATGCCCACTGTGGCACCACTGTGGGAAGTCTTCCAGCCTGGCTAGAGCTTCTTGGGAAACGTGCAGCTTGAAGATTCCTCCAGATATTTTTCCTCCAACTGTTATGAGTTGTCTTCCTTATTGTATTTTATTTTCTTTTGTATTTTCTTTATTTGTACTAATTGCCCAAATATAATGATTGAGTGTGTACTTCCTCCCTCTTCTCTCCCCTATATAAAGAAGCTTGGGAGAGTCTTTTGAAGTGTGCCAAGATTAGAGAAAATGGGTGCCAAGATTAGAGAAAATGGGTGCCAAGGTGTGGCAAACACCAACAAAACACCATCTTTTGTTACTCTCTAATATATTTCATCTCTTTTAGTAATATTATAAATGCTTTTTAATTTATTGTCTTTAATTTATTGTCTTTAATTTTATGTATTTAATTTTATGTCTTTAATTTCTAGTATTTTATTTCCTTGTACTCGTAATTTAGTTTTACATTAATGCAATTTATATTTCAGTATTATTTTATGTCTTTAATTATTTTTATTATGTCTAGCTAAATTACTTGTATGGGTGTGGGTGTGAGTTTAACTTAGGATGTTTTTATAATATTTGGGTGTTTTTATCTTTTATCACTTCGTAACTTGGTCACTTAAGACGATACTTAAAATGCGGATAAGCTGATCACTTTGAAGTGTTAATATTAGATCTTAGACCCAGAGATGGGCGGATCCGAAATACGGCTTAAGTGATGCACAATGAACTCGAGAGGGTCTTTGAATAATTACGTGGAGACGCGAATTTTGCATGCATTTAGCTAGGGGTTAAGCAATATGTATTTCTATCACAAAGAGATTTGGGTGAAATTTTCATTCCTTTTATTTTTTAGCTAGATCGGCAAGTCTCGAAGTGGTAAACGTAAAAACCTTATGGACTTTTATAAGGCCCGGTTATAAAAGTTCACTTTCGAGAGATTGGAACTTTTATAAACAACTCGTAAAAGTCTAACCATTTTGATTTTATCTTAAGCAACACTTGCACCCATGCCCATCATCTTTTAATATTAAAAGTTTATTTCCTTAATTAGCTAGTCGGTCCTATTTCAGTCTTTTTTGATGAAATTGTTTCATATATGGTTGTGAAATTGTTTCATATAATACTTAATGAAACTGTTTCATGTATTTCTCTAAAATTAATGAAACTGTTTCATGTATTTCTTTAAAATTAAAATAATGAAAATGATAATATCTATGATTAACACCCTCCACAATAAAAATGATTAATCAACCTCTCATAATTACAAAAAAATGAACAAAATGAAAAATTATGATTGGTTAAATGCGGTTTGCACGGTTTGTACAAATTCACTGGTTCGCATTTGATCGCTCCCCTATATATATATATATATATATATATATATATATATATATTATATGGACCATGCATTGGAATTCTTGGCACCTTTTTTTTATCACCATCTACATTCTTCCTTATTTTTCTAGTCTCCGCATATATTCTTTTTTTCATGAATTCCTTCTTAATTTGTTCTATAGTTGCTTTCATAAAAAACTACTACTACTACTACAACTACAACTACAACCGAAAGGCCTTCCATAAACAAGTCAAACACTTGCTCATCAAACGTAGCCAACATGTTTGGGTTGGTCCTTGAATCGGTTAAGTAAGATTATAATGGATTTGACGATATTGCCAAATATTAATATGGCGGTAAGTCAAAAGTAGTTGGTTTTGTATTTGACAAACATGGGCGGATGTCAAATCATTGGACGAGTTGGTCAATGTCTTGTAGTAGCAAATAAATGTACTCAAACATTACTTTAACTATTAGGATCGAGATGTTGTTTTCTTGAAGACCTTCAACTTATGCATGAAACAGCGATGTGTGCAACTAGGTAGAATAACAATCTAATGGTGTGTGTACGACTTAATCTATACTATCTTATAAAACATTTTGCTAAAACTCTTAAAAACTCTTAAAATTTCATCTCTATCCGATTTCATCTCATATCTGAATTCGTGTAACTAACTGCAGATAAACACAATCAAATGCATGATAAACATTTCATTTTAAATATAAAAAATCTAAAATATAATTAGTATAATCATTAAATTCTAACAGAATACTTAATTATCTATACTATTTTATTAAGCAAATTTACTAAATGTCTTAAAAACAATCTTAATTGCACAAAGTACTACTTATTTATGCATAGTCTTAAAGTCCTAAAAGTTTACAACTTTAACAGCATAAGGTATCACTCCCCATTTCGCCACCCATCATTATCAGTTATCACACCGTACAACTCAATTTCACAGCCCCCAGGCGACGATTCCTTTTCTCGAAGACTACTATTCAAGCGACGATTCCTTTTCTCCAAGACGACTATCCAGGCGCCCTCCCTCTCTCGAGATGCAGGTTTTATTTATGTTATGTTATTGCTCCTTCGGTTTCTCATACGATTCATCTTGCTATTCACGCGCCCTCTCGCTCCATCAATTTAGGGTTTCATTGATAAAAGTTGTCTGTAAAGGTACTCCATCGATTTAGGGTTTTTTCGATCCTTTCTGTCCGATWTCTTTGATTTCTTTTGACGGAAGTTGTGTGTCCATTTGGTTTGATCCTTTCGATTTCATTGATTTCTTTGATATTTCTGTTCATGTTATGCTTAATTCATTGTTGTTGATGCCGATTAACATTTGATTTTTCTTGTTGATGCAGCTTAACATAATGTCAATATCAGCAAGTAGTAAGTAGAGGTCCATTTGGTTCAATCCTTTTGATTCTTGAGCAATTCAAAACTTGTCTTTCAGGACTGTTTAGCAAAAGAAAATCGCCAACAGATCTTTTTGTGTTTAATAAGGTAATATTCTTCATGCTTATCGTGATTCTTCCATTAGAAGGGTACTCGCACAATACAGCGAGATACATCTTGATCTTAATATT